CATGCATATTGGATAACCTTTGAACTGTATGTGGAAGGACCATCTTGTCCAAAGTAATGATGCCACACTGTAAAAAATTACTTCATTGTTGGGCCTAAAATATATTTTCAGTGGCCTTAACATGAGATGTTAAATATCATCTTTGACATCACTGAACGAGCTGCCAGCATTTATACCTTTAAATTTATTGTTATTTAAACAGGTGAAAAAATTCTGCTAACCTTTATGTTTTTGCTGTGAAATGTGGGAAAAAAACAACTTTTGGAATCAGTTTTTGAGTGAGAGGCTCTGTGTTCTTTTAATATTCAATTTAAATAAAATAAACTACTGCTTAAATTATGTTGCCAATTAAAATATCAATTTACATTCTGTAATTTCAGAATAAAGCTGTTTAATTTACTGAAATGTATAGTTGGGTTACCAGTAGTAAAAATCTGCTCTGTGGTGGCATATAGTTCTGATAGAACAGAGCTTATTTTTTTTTGGAGCAGCCACCAACACTAAAACCCAGACTATTACTGTTTGTGAAATGATGACAACTTTTGCAGCTGAAAAACAATAAGTCCTAAATGATCAAGCCTAATGATAATTCTTAAGAAGGAAGTTTAACATTTTTTAAATTATTTGTTAACGTTTCTAAGTTAACATTACTATGATGTTAGTTTGAAAAAAAAATCTGTATTTTAAGTTACATAACATAGAATTCAAAGTTTGGCAAACTTATCCATCAATCCATCCATCCGTCTGTCTGACCGTCCGTCCGTCAGTCCATTTCTTTTTGCAGAATGGTTTTCAGATACCAGGATTCTGACTCTTCATTCATAACTAAAGCAGATTAAATTAGTTTCTTATGGAGATGCATTAAGAAGGAATAAATGAAGGGGCAAAAGAAAATCCTTTAATAAAATATAGAAAAAGCACTGTGGTCCTATAATGAAACCGAATGGAGGAAAGTCTCTGACTTGTTCTATTTCTCTTTCCGTCCCTACATCCTTCTAGGGTGACATGCAGGTTGAATTATAATCTTAAACTCATAAACCTGAAGTCTCTAGCTATACAGCATAATGATGTAAATAAAGTAGAAAGGTTCAAATCCACCCTATGTTCGTTACAAAGGTTTTACCAAACTACTACTTCTCTTTTTATTTCCATCCTCTTCATGTTGCATTCTCTGAAGCATTTTATCCTTCCGTTTACAAAGTCTACAGTTATCTCTGCAGGAAGCAGCCACTGTAAAACTGGCCTGCAGTGTTTTCACACCTACTTGCTCTGATTATTACAAACCCCAGCGCTTTTTTTTTTTTTTACCCTGCAGCACCACTTATTTATTTTTGATCCTAAAATATCTGTCAGCTAAAATAAGATTCCATGTTTGAATCTTTGTACTGATGCTCTGTGACCATCACACATCATCTTTGCTCCATTTTTCTTGAGTTCCAGTTTTTTTTACAATTGCTATGACAGATTTTTCAATACTTTCAACAATTTACTAAAACTAAATTTACTAAACCTAACCTTTCAGGCTAAAGTCAAGGTGAACAACTCCTCATATTGAATTGAAACACAAATATATTCTCTGTATTTGATTTCATTGTGAATGAGAAACAGCTTATTGAAGTTATGCAATTGTTGAAATCACAGCTGATTCCCATCTAGGAAGCACACTCAGCTGTTGAGGTTCTTTCAATCACATGATCATATGTTATAAAAGAGGAGTCTTTGGGCTGGCCTTCACTGGAAAAGGAAAAATTTGGAGCAACACAAAGAGAGAAAGAAGGAAAGAAATGCCTGCACAAGGGCAAGGAAGACAAGTACCAGGACAAGAGAGAGGAGTGGGGCAAAGTAGAAGGGGAGAAGTTAGAATGCGTGGTGAGCAAGATTCTAAACCCCACACTGCTCCCCGGGCACCGCACAGTGGCTGCCCACTGCTCCCCACAGGGATCGGTAAATGCAGATGTAAACTTCTCCAGTGTGAGATCAATAAAGTTCAATTACTATATTATTAAGATTGTTATATGCTTTAAATTAAGGCTCCATCAAGCTGCTTCATTGGGTGAGGCTGACTCCTCCAAGATTCTGGTTACAAAGTAACCAACAGATCGTAGCTTCAGATTCCTTCAGGTTTTGCCTTTATTCACACATAAATGCATCTGATCGAGCAGATAATGGATAAAAATAAGCTAAGTGAAGACAAATAGCAGTTCTTCAAATAATGACTTCATTCAATTTGAGAAAAAGCTTATCCAAAACAAACCGTCTATATGTAAAACACCTTAATAACTTATGAAATTGGCAAAAAATAAATAAGGCAATTGTAAAGTGCCTTGAAATGATACATGTCGCAATTTAACAAATAAACTGAATTGAATTGTGATTTAAACTGGTTTTAGAAAGTTTTGCTCTGATTTTAGAAAGATTTGATCAATTTAACAAGGCAAACCCAGGCCTGATTTTAACTTGATATGATAAACCTTTCTGATGGCTCGAAATCATCTAAGCCAGAGGTCTTCAAGGGTTGGTCCGCACCCCTAGGGTGGTCCATGGTGGTACCGCAGGGGGGTCGCAAAAGTTTTGGTTGATTAGCCAATATTTTAATATTCTCCCCTGCAATTTTTTCCGCTAATGCCTTAAAATACACATAAAATGAATTCAACACATTGAAGTAAACAGATAAATGGAGGCAGAAGATATCTTTCAGTCATCAATGCACACATTCAGTGACACACAGGAGCTCTTTCAAGCTGGGCACCATTTCATTCATAACACCTGTCCCAGCAACCAGGAATCAGAATCAGAAATACGTTAATAATCCCAGGGAGAAATTACTTTCGTTACATTCCTCCAGCCATAATAGAATGACCATAGGATCGGTTTGCTATAAAACAATTTCCTACAATATATATAATTAGGGGGTCCCCGCTCCATCTCGCCATCAGTTTGGAGGTCCTTGGCCTGAAAAAACATTGAAGACCCCTGATCTAAACAATATTTGAAATATAGATTGTGTAACGTAACTTGGGGTGCCAGACAACACTGGAGCAGAGAACCAGTAATATATCTGGTCAGGTTAGGGTCATGTCAGGAGAGCTCAGACTGCCTTAAAGCTCCACTCAGAGTCCCATGACTCATTCAGTGACAGATCCCACCCTCTCAACTTACATAGCCATGTGTTTTAGAAACAGCAGCCNCTCTGATTTTAGAAAGATTTGATCAATTTAACAAGGCAAACCCAGGCCTGATTTTAACTTGATATGATAAACCTTTCTGATGGCTCGAAATCATCTAAGCCAGAGGTCTTCAAGGGTTGGTCCGCACCCCTAGGGTGGTCCATGGTGGTACCGCAGGGGGGTCGCAAAAGTTTTGGTTGATTAGCCAATATTTTAATATTCTCCCCTGCAATTTTTTCCGCTAATGCCTTAAAATACACATAAAATGAATTCAACACATTGAAGTAAACAGATAAATGGAGGCAGAAGATATCTTTCAGTCATCAATGCACACATTCAGTGACACACAGGAGCTCTTTCAAGCTGGGCACCGTTTCATTCATAACACCTGTCCCAGCAACCAGGAATCAGAATCAGAAATACGTTAATAATCCCAGGGAGAAATTACTTTCGTTACATTCCTCCAGCCATAATAGAATGACCATAGGATCGGTTTGCTATAAAACAATTTCCTACAATATATATAATTAGGGGGTCCCCGCTCCATCTCGCCATCAGTTTGGAGGTCCTTGGCCTGAAAAAACATTGAAGACCCCTGATCTAAACAATACTTGAAATATAGATTGTGTAACGTAACTTGGGGTGCCAGACAACACTGGAGCAGAGAACCAGTAATATATCTGGTCAGGTTAGGGTCATGTCAGGAGAGCTCAGACTGCCTTAAAGCTCCACTCAGAGTCCCATGACTCATTCAGTGACAGATCCCACCCTCTCAACTTACATAGCCATGTGTTTTAGAAACAGCAGCCAGGATGAAGCACCAATATCCACCAAGTATTAAATACTGACATCATTTAACATACCCCATGTTAATAGGTCAGAGTTTAAGGTTTCACAGTAAAAGAGAGAGAACCTGGGAAATATTGGCATCTATGGGACTCACCACTTCTCACATAAAAAAAGGAACAAAAGTCCAGAAAATGACCGAAAGTAAAGCAGTCAGGCTCCCTCTGACTAATAAAACAAAAATGTTTTATAACACCCTTTGAAGCCCAGTGGAATTGAATTGACTTGTTATACTGTGGCCTGACCCCAAAGAGGCCTATCCTACTTGGAACCCCTCCATTGGGGCTGAATTAAATCCTGGAGGGAAGATCGGATCCAAACTAGGTCCACACTGATGCAAATCGACAGTTTTCAAATGTATTTCTTCCTTAATGAAAATATAAAAATTGTTTCCCTCCAGGTTAACGATTTCTAATGTTAAAGTTTGTTTTTTAAATAAAACTTTTAAGTTTTGACCAAGAAGAAGAGTTCTGCAACATAAACCACTGATTTATACATAAAATCCTGAGGATAATAAAGTTCAAGTTTCACTCAAAGGTAAACATAGGAGCTGCTTAGGAGTTTAATTTGTTATGAGACTAAAAGTTACCTGTTGTGTTTATCTTTAAAGCTGTAAACAAGTCCACAGCCGTTTATTGAAAAAACTCTTTCTTTTAACATTGAAATGATCTGAAAACAAGACCAGAAGAAAGAAAATAGTAAAACAGTAGACTGTTCTTTTTTAAAATTCCTTTATTTTTCATCACTGACAGATCTACGTCAGACAAGGATGTTGTAAATATTAAAACATTTTCCTTTGCAGTATTTACTGTACTTGAGATGCTGTGTTGATCCAACTGCAATGAATTCTGCTGTGTGTCATTAAATCAGATGAAAACTCATAAACAAATTCAGCAAAAGGATAAAAAAATTACTTTAAAAGTCTTTAATGTTTTCAGCACTTCGACCACTTAAACATCAAAAATGCATTAAAATGCACAAATCTAGATGGAAATGCAGTCAGAAGGACCATTACAATTCAAACAAATAAATATATGCAGCTGACAGATCACTGCAGATCCAAACCGTCATTTATTAAAAAGGAAAAGTCCCTCAACTCTTGACAACTTTAGGAAGCATGGCAGTAGCTTAATTAGAACCTGCTACCAGCTCTTCAGCAAAGGTACCAGTGAATGTTTGCAAAATGAAGACAAAAGTATAACAGTTTCCAGAGCAATCCCAGATCTGATCTACCAGTGCTGCAAACATGGTTCACCAGGAGACCTGAAACCTGTAATCTGGTGACCAACAAACATAATCTCTGAAGGGTTGACTTTGGTATGCCGGATTATCGGTTCATAATTCTGTGGATGGTGTTCCTGTAGACATGCTTCACGTCCCAGGAAGCTTCAAAGGAAAGACAGCCTTGGCATCTCCAACAGAACGGCCTCAGAGCTTTTGTGTCCCGGTGGGCTTTGTTATAAAACAGCAATTCCCCCTGAAGCTCCACAAGCTTCTCTCAGGCTTCAGTGTTTGTCTAGTCCATGAGTTCCAGTGCTCGACTGAGTATTGAGTTAAGAGGTAGGCACACACGCACACAAACTGGTTTAATAAAGGTCCTTCCTCTGTGTGTGTGCACCCTCCCTACGTCACGCCGAGCTGAGGCTGTCAAAGCCGCAGAACTTCCACCGTTTCTCCAACGTTGCGCCAACGCCGCTCAGCTCCTGCCGGAACATAGTGGGCAGACGCACCATGAGACGCTCCAGTTCGCTGGCAGACACCTGGAAGAGGTTAGCAAAGAATGCAAGAAAACAGTCCATGAGGGGAATCGAAGCAGCAACGGAAATAAAGAAGAATTTTAAAATGTTAACTGCTCTAAACTTTAAAAGTAACCTTCTAAAAATGTAACTTCTGCTCAACAATTTAAAGACAATGTAGCCTATAGATTTAGGTCAAACAAAAACTGCAGCCTGCCATCACAATGTTTTCACCAACATTTTAAAATGTATCTGCAGCTAAGAACTTCTGACAAAAGTGCAGACATGTAATAAATAACCATAAAAGCAGTTTTATTTAAAAACACATGTATGTAAACTACTCTCCTCACATATTATGATGTAGATTTAATACCACAGGCTCCCAATGCGTCACATTTATGAGTTCATGCTCCTTCTCTGCAGCTTGCTTTCAATGCGCCTGTAGATTATCTGATTCATGTGCAGTTCAAAGAGAGCAAAAAGCAAGAACAGTAAAAATTTCCCTAGCAAAATCCTACTTCAAGTAAAAACTACTTAGTTGATTTTTTGCAAAAAAAAGAAAAAATCCTATTGGTCCATTTTATAAAAGAAAATATATAAATATTATTCTAAATGATATACTTTATACTGTTGATAAATAATTTACAGTTGCAATAAATAAGAAAAAAAAGCTCAGAATTTTTGTAATTTTGTAGCAACAACTGTCTGCATGGTCGAATTCTAAATGGTCTGTAGTTGTATAGCACTTTATTTTGCTTCTCTGTTTTCAAAATACTTATACAACCATTCATAAACCCATTCACCTGTTGATAAAAAGTTGTGCTTTAGATTTTAATTTATGCTACATTGTTTATAACTATAACAAACAAATCGTATTTCCTTCGTGCCTAATATGCACTTAGATGTATTCATATGTAGAAACTCGAATTGCAAATGATAGAGAATCATTTTTTAATAAAGCTTATAGTTAGAGTGGCTCAGGTTATCCTGACTTATCTTAATAGTTATGCTGCTATAGGCTTAGACTGCTGGAGGACATTGGGACCCTTTTCTATCATTCTGCTTTATTCTATCTCTATTCTCCCACTCTGTAAATGTATTAATTCAATCTCTAACATTATGCTCTCTCTGCTTTTTCTCATAGTAGCTTCGCCTAGTTTGTTCCTGGTTGGCTGGTTGACACCATCCTCCATCAGCTGTGCTGCTTCCATAAATAATTTTGTTTATAGATGTTGGATCTTGGCCTGTTTTTCAGTGTAGTCCTGTTTCTCTGACTGTGACTAACTGGATGCGTCTGTCATCCTCTGACATGGGAGATGGCTCAGAGCTCGTCTGCCTGGCTGTTTGTTTCCTGGATGGGGCCGCCTGTGGAGCTAGTTGACAATTGCTTTATGTATCTCTGCTTCTGTCTCCTTGAACCCCAGTCGGCCTCAGCAGATGGCCGCTCACACTGAGCCTGGTTCTGCTGGTTCTTCCGGGAAAGGGAGTTTTTTCTTTCCACTATCGCTAAAAGCATGGTTGCTGTGAGGGAGTCAATGAGTCAATGCAATCAACTAGTTTTCCTTATATAGAAAACTTTGAACCAATCTGACTGTACGATCTGGTTGAGTTGTCTCTGTAAATTTCCTTGAGATGACATGATGTGAATTGGCGCTATATAAATAAAATGAATTGAATTGATATAACGTGTATTTTTCAGCAACTAAAACATATTGAATGAAGACATGTAAGGATGTTCCATCCATTATTCCACCCACAGATTATTCCAACAAACTCCAGAAGGGTGTGACAGAAACCTTTGGCTGCTGTCATTGATGATTTGGGCTCTTACTGGAGCAGCTCTAGGGATGGTTCAAAAACTATTTCCCTTAATTTGGAAGTAACATCTACACTGGCTTAGGAAGCCCTTCGTTTGCTAACAATAAAGAGAAGTCAAGCTGACTAAATATGTCTACATGTGAGAAATGAATAACAGTCATGATGTGGGAACTAAAGCACCAAAACTCATCATTCACATTAAAGAAGCCATGTTTTAAAACTACAACTGACAAATTACGAGCAGCACGTCTGTTAGGCATGGAACTGACTGAGCAGATGGCCCCACAGCTTAACCAGCAGATATCAGTTTGTTGGGCTCCCAGTGGTGAAAAGAGAACAGAAGATTAGTGATCTGCTGAAATGCAATGAAAGCTAAAGGAAATTATTGATATTTTTATTGGAGTCTAGGTGGTAAAACAGTACTACAGTATTAATTAATCTGACAGAAACCCTTACAACCATAAACATATATATAACTGCATAATCAGTATTTAAGTTTATTTTAGTGGCAGGAGAAGCAAGAAGATTTCTATTTTGAATAAAATACAACTTGACATGTTTGTGATAAATACGGTTTACAATAAAATAAGAATCTAGTTTTTTTGTTTTTTGAAATAATATTTCTCTGGCATAAGTGACTTGATAACTCTTTTATTCTTATTTTGTCAAACTGAATTCATAGGCTTCCATTAACATTATTAATCAGAATAAATAGTAAATCGTAGTAAAAATCCTTGCTTCCTGCAAACATGTCATTTGTAATATTGAAATTGGGGACTGAAATTTTGGGGTGGGATTTAGCAATTTATTCTGAATGACGAAAGCTCTCATGAGTACACATGTTTACGTGGCACATTTAATTTCGATTACAATAAGTCTTATTCCAACTACTTATCTCCATATAAAAGAAACAACCAGTACAGTCTGATTGTTCTTTGTTATCTGAAAACATTTCAATCTGGTTGTTACCTATGTTTTTAGGATGTTGTGTTTAGTAACTTTTTCACAGAGAATAAAAAGCTGCCTGGTCTTGTTACCTTTGAGTCCAGCCGTTGTATGTACGACCAAAGATACTCAAGATTGGCCCCAAATGGATGGACGTGGAGGAACGTGGATATAATACCTAGAGAACGAAAAAAAATTTTTAAATATAAGACACTTTTTTGCTAACAAAGCAACAGAGACCATCTGTTAATCCCAAATATTGAAACTGTTACAGGATAAAATCAACCCTGATACTCATGGTTAGTTGCAATTTATGAGCACAAACTCTGCAGTTATATACAGCTAGTAGAGAAGCACGACAGAGAAGGAAAGCTGAGCCAGGCTGGATATTAGATGTAAAGTTTCAGGCTCCAGCAGAGCAGCCATGCTGCATCCTCATGAAGGGCTGCGTTGTAAACAAGCAGCAGCAAGGCCCCCATAAAAAATGCTGGCCAGAGCAGAAGGAGCTCTCAAGTTGATTACCTCTGAGAGGTCCTGCAGAAGTAAGCAGTCATGCAGAGGAAGGGAAGGGGGGGATTCGGGGTTGGAGGGTTAGGAAATAGAGTGGAGTCCCTCTGGGGGATCCTGCAAGCCCAATATTTATTTCCTTGATTTATGTGGCGAGGCTGGCAATTACAGACAGGCCCTAATTCAATTCCTTCCACCAGGCCTGCTCACATGGAACAACAGCACTGGAGGAGAAGTAAAGGGTAAGAGTGGGGGGGC